CCCGTAAACTTGCTCGGAGGTAAACAAACAACCCGTCAGAGATTGCAGCGAGTACTCAGCTCGCTGACTGGCCGCTGCAATAAATAATGACATCAGAGGAAACCAGACCCCGCAGATGGTGGACAGAAGGAAGGTTTGTTCCCATCTTCACCGAGGGATAAATTACACACCAAAGAATCCACTCATTTAAAGTATACAATTCAGTGGTTTTAATATATTCACAGAGTCAGGCAGCATTACCACTGTCTAATTTTAGAAGATTTTTTTCAACCCCCAAGAAAGCCCGTGCCCATCAGCACCCCCACCCCAGTCTTGGGCCACCACTGATCTACTTGTCATGTTCACAGAACTGCTAATCCTGGATGTTTCACATAAATGGAAGTGTATAACATGTGGTCTAAGAAAGATTCTTTTTCCATTGTAATTTTAATAGCTATGTGCTCATAATGAGAACTTTTTTATACTGCTATTTAAATTGCTATTCTCAAAAAGGAGAAATGGAAAAGAAGTCCCATTAGCTATATCAAGATGCCTAAACAAGGGTCTGTGAGAAGTTCCTGTGGCTGTTGTCGCTAAAGCATCCCAGGTCCCCTGTCAGCATGCTTCAGGCACCTCCCTGACCCTCACTGGCCACCTCCTTTCTGTTGCCCATACATACTTGAGGGGAAAATCAAGAAAATTATTCTGATCAGCTTACAGTTTTCATTTGCTATTCATTTCAATTAGAAGTTTTTATATTATATATGTTTTGGTGGTCATTTCACTTTTGCTTGCCTACTGAATTCCTCTGATATGTCTACTAAATGCAACAATCGTCACAGACTATTTAGCATGTTCTCGCTTCTCACAGTAAAACTAAGATGAGCGATTTCCCATATAGGTTACTTTATCTGCTGCCCGTCCCTTTGTCCACCACATGGAGCATCTTTATATTATAGCAACAGTTAACCTCGTTGATAACATGTCTCCACCATTACTTACACTGCAATTTTGTCTGTAAGTTGATCAACTCTAGGTCTAGACTCAGTTACATGGGTAATATACTAATGTGTTACTCATCCAACTTGGAACTTTTTTTTTTTAAAGAAGTAATTTATACCATATCACTGAAAACATCTTGAAGACTATTGAATCCCAATTATCATGGTATTAAGTAGACAAATGAGAGAGTAAAAGGATAATAGCATAAATCTGTAATAAACCATGATCCATAGGGCTGGAATACCATATGTCCATTACATTTTCAAATCTTCCTGTCATCCCGAAGAGCTTAAAAACGTCTAAGAACACTGTACAACGACTGTGTCCCACCAATCCCACCCGAGCTCGTTTGTCCCACTGGGGCTGGTTCACCTTTCTCCTTGGCTTTCCCACAGTTCCCAGCCCTGTGGCAGCTAACCATGGGTACACTGAGCTTTGAATGTCTCCATATTCTTGCTCTGTGCCATATCCTGAATAGCTACATGAGGTCATTGCTGGCATTTCATTGCTCATGACCAAGATCATTCTTGGGTGTTGGAGGACTTTTTTGCTTCTTGAAAATTACAAAAAAATAATAATAGCCCCACCTTAAAATTGCTTATTTTATATCAGGCACTAAGCTAAATGCTTAAAATAGGTGATCTCATCAACTCTTCATGAGGCTTGGTGGGGTGGCCGTTATTATTCCTATTGAACCAAAGAGAACACTAGACAAGGAAGGTCCACTAGCAGCTTGGGATTCGTGCCAGAGTGAGGGTGGGGACTCACGTCCAAGCCCACACTGTCCACCATGCCATCATTCTGCCTCAATAAACATGTATGATTCTCATGACACAAGGAAATTTTCCTTCTTAGAAAAAAAACAGAAAAAGAAAAAACACTGTCAAGTGCTTTTTGGGGGTTTCCCCCTCAAATTTTATGCCTCTTTGTAATGGAGAGTATATACTAGCCACATTTTATAAAACTAAAAGAACTTTTAGAAGTAAATTCCTGCCCTTCCAGGCCCTCCTGTCTGCACAGATGCAGCACCGGGCAGCTGTGTTGGGCCTGTGTCCTCATGATGGCACCACCAGACAGGCAGAGGCTGGGAGCACTGGGCCCCGAAAGCCCTGGCTTTTCTGTTGGAAAACATTCATGGGCATGGGTAAGCACATTTCTGTGCCCACTGTTTAAAGACATCCAATCCTTTTGGTCTCAGCTTAAATGGAGGTTTTTCACAATATAAAACTTTCATGGAGTTAATGGCCTTCAGCAAAACAAGTAAAAGTAATTCACCTGATAAAAGAATGTCAACAGCAAGTACAAAATAATTTGTGAGATGCAAGTTGTACACATCCTTCCCAGGAAGAAAGGGACTGCAGTGCACGAGTGGATGGGGGCAGGGTCAAGGACAGCATTTGTGTTTGATTTGTGGCTCCCAGAATATCGCTGTCCTTGCAAAAGGTAGATGCAAATTACACCTAATAACTTTGTTATGAATAATTGCTACTGCTCAGCTCCTGCACACTGGATGAGTCTGGGTGAGAGAAAAGGCAGTTAGGAACACAAGACACCTACAAATTATGAGTCAGCTCTGGCAATCTCCACTCAAGTCAGTGACTGTTTTCAGAGTAGTGACATTGTTTATGAGCTTGGAGGTGCAGTCGACTCTGAGATCGAGTTGGGAAGGACAAGCCATGCAGCTTTCAGCATGTCTGCAAGGTCCTCAGAGCACACCTCACATTTGAGTGTAGCACAGACAGCAATGAGTGCTTTCACAGGATAATGGCTGGGAAGTATAGATTATGAAGGGGAAAATAAGTTGTCTAAAGTATAGTGGGTGCAGTAGCTCATAATTGAGGATCATTCATTCTGACAGTATTTGTTGAGAGCTCAACTTGTGTCCACACAACTGAGACCATGGCAATTCACTGCTCATGACCAAGAACAGGCGGCAAGCAGGAAATGAAGGGAGAAGAGGGCCAGCAACAGCCTGGGAGACGCGACCAGGTGAAGAAGCCTTGTTTTAGGAAAGGGTGCTGGTTTGTGTGTTGAAACCATTGGCTGGATGTCCAGCTGAAAGCTGGCTCCCAGATGCTCTGTTACAATGTTAGTTGTTGAATGACTTTGAATTGTTACAGTTTCAGTTGTTGAGTGAGGAGGATCCGCCCTATAATGTCAGCTGCTGCAATGAGTCTGAGTAGGGAGGAAAAGGGGTGAAAATGAGTAAAGTTCATTTAGCAGTTAGGAGATCACTGAGTCCTTTGGCACCAGTGTCCATGGAGTAGCCTGTACTCAAGCCACATAAAAAGTGTTTCATTATCAAATTAACAATCAGAAAGGAGCAACTATTTACAAAAATTATTTTACTGAGTAATTTTTAAATTAAATATAAGTGGTATATTAAGATCTTTAGATGAGTTTAGAACCTAGAAGTTCAGGTTGAACATACTGCTTCAAACACATACCCATAATAGGTATATAAATTATAAAAATAGAAAAATTTAAAACAGGCATAGCTGGGTTTAAAAACAACAAAGCTACTGGAACAGAAACAGAAACAGAAAGGTGAGAGTGACTCCAGTCTGTCGACTCCCAGGTCTAGTTGGTTGGGCTGTCATACTTGGGGTAGGGTAAACCAACCAACCAAACCAACCAGCCACCAAAACCCTGTAGTGCAGCTGTTTAGAGCTGCAGATACTACGGACAGTCTTTGGTTGATTGAAGGAGGCAAGCAAGCATTCCAAACAATCATGTTAGGGGTAGCAGCTGTTGTGTGGCCAGCTGCTTCCTAGAACAAGTGGCGGTTGCTGGGGGCTTTCAGAGTGAGTGTCCTCAGGAGACATGACTGCATGGCAAGCAGTGTCTCCAAACAGGCCACACTCCTTTCCAAGTCCCCATGGAACAATAGGAAAATGACCAGCCACTGGGGGTGCAATGGCAAGAAGACTCATGAACACTATTGGATCTCAGAATATAAAACCTATTATTCTTCGAACTTATAGTTTAGAAATCTGACCACATATCTGGCTAAAAAGAAAACCTCAAATTAATACACACACACACACACACATATATATTTCAGACCAAATTCCAGAGCTATAAATCAATAACATTTTTCTAAATTAACATCATGATAGCAAAATTCAGAACTCTCTGAAGACTAGCCCCCTCTTTGGAGGCAATTTAGGGGAGAAATGCAATCTTAAATAAAATCTAGAGAAATTTTTTAAGTACAGGAGAAATATGAACATATTTACATGTAGAAGCCTGAGGAAGTAGGAATTAAAACTACCAGAAATTGGAAGTATAATGAAGCAAGGGTTACATAGGAATTAGCCTTGGAGATTGCTTCATGGTCTGAGGTGGGGGTTAGGAGGATCCAGGTGCCCAGGAAGGAAGGACTTGGTCCCTTGGAGTTACGTGTGAGCTATCCGACACCACAGTAAAAAATGAAATAAATGCATGTGTGCAGCAGCTTTGCAGGACTACACGGATCACAGCGCACACTCTGGGCGAGGTCAAGACTTTCTTGTGCAGTTGCCGGGGCCCAGAACAGCTAGGGGCGCAGAAGGGCGGCTATCTTCGCCCAGCAAGCGGGAGGGGTCAGCATCCTGAAGCTCTGCAGGTTGCTGTTGGCTTCTTCAAACTCTGTTTTTTCACCTACACGAACTCTGGCTGTGGAACCCAGCATGGATGCCGGTACAAAAGCGCCTGCGGATCGGCCTCTACCTCCGGCAGACGGGTCGCCCAGGTGAGCGGGAGCCCCACGTGGTGCCTTCCACCGGCTTCCAGAGTCCTGGGGGCAGGAGCCTGCAGCCCAGTGGCACCAGACAGGACTCCAACTCCCGATCCAGGCTTGCCGAACCGGGGTACACGCAGAGGCAACCTACGCCGCCTCCACTGACACCCTCGCAACGTGGTGACGTAATATGCCTGATAAGCAGAGGGCGGAGCTTCGAAACGCTACCGCCAACCACTAGCGCTCCTGCCGCGTGGTGTCGTCATCAGTGCCCGACGTGCGGTGACGCCATCCGGCCCGGACTTGCCGGCGGCGGGAAGGGCCTGCGGGCCGGCCGCGCCTCAGCTGGATTGGAACTGAAAGCTTAGGCCGGGAAGGGCTGCGAATTGAGGGGGAGCGGGAAGGGGCGGGGAGGTGGTGACCGGAACATGGCGGACCAGATCCCTCTGTACCCGGTTCGCAGCGCGGCCGCGGCGGCCGTGGCCAACCGCAAACGCGCGGCCTACTACAGCGCCGTGGGGCCCGGGCCGGGGGCCGAGCGGCCCAGCAGGTAACGACGGCCCGTTCCTCTCTCCGCCCCGGAGCCCTTCTCTCCCGCCCGCCCTGCTGCGGTGGACCTGCCCCCGGGGGCCCGCCGCTGGCCGCGCAGTGTGACTGGGTCACCGGGAGGGCGCCCCCCCACTCCGGAAGCGCTCAGGGGCGTCAGGCCCAGGCGGGCCCCCAGCTCTGACCCCGGCGGTGCCCTGGCCACCGGGTCCAAAGGGAGAGGTGACTGCATCCGATGCAGGGGAGCTGGTGCTGCTGATTTCTAGGGCGACGCGCACGAGAGGCCCGAGGGCTGGTCGCCCAGGCTGTTAGTGTCCGAAATTCACAAATTGTGACGGCGACCGATACCACTTTTACTGAATGGAGAGTCACCTGTTTTCACAAATGTGGAGAGAAAGTGAAGACATTTCACTTTACGAAGTACACCGCTAAACATGCATTTACAAAGTACTTCCTGTCAGCAAATGTGTTTGTTTTTAGGAATGAGAAACTGACCCAGAAAGGCTAAGCTGTTTCATGGGGCCACAGTTAGTTTAGAATGAAAACGTACAGACCTTTGATTTAAAATGAAAGTCTCATACCCTACTTGGTTTTCACTCATATTTATTCCTCACCCAAAGAGAAGACTACTACATTTAACAGATGATACAGTAATTAGAAACAGAAACTTTTCAAAAGGGAAAATACTGCCTTTTGTAGTTCCTAAAATTGTATTCCCTAGGAATTATAGAAGCAATTGGTCTTGAAAACACAGATGGAAAAACCACAGGTTTCAATAACCATTTGCTTTAGGATTCGATTTTAGAATATATTTTTGTTTAGGAGAAGGGCATTACACATGTTATAGAGCTTCATTAAATCTCTGTTCATGTGCTTACTAACGGATCTCAGACACCTTATTTAAAAATGAGCCCTGATTTCCTGGGTAAATGGGGAATGATATTTTTTTTCATGGGATTGTAGAGGATTACGGAAGAACCTAGAAAGATGCCCTGTTCAGTGTTGGACCAAAAGTACCATTTCTCCTTCCTCTGTTATCTGTACAAGTGAGTGCGTTAGTGATAATCCAAGAGGTTGGTTTTTGGAGATCATTATCTAGAAATAATGCTACCTGTTTCACTATAAGTTACCATAACAGTTTGGGTCTGTCACGTCTTTGCTTCATATTTTTGAGGCTCTATCATTTGGTGTGTACACATTTAGGACCCTTTTGTCTTCTAGGTGGATTTCTATTTGTCTTCTATTGTGCAAAGTTCCCCTTTGTCTCTGGTAATTTTCTAGGTACTATTGATAATTTATCCATCCACTCCTGTTTCTTATGGATTGATGTTTTCATGGTGTTAGCTTTCAGCCTGCCTACATTGTTGAATTTGAAGTGAATTTATGGTTGAATTGTGTTTTTCCATTATTGCATCCATCAGTCTCTGTCTTTAGATTGGTGCATTTGGGTCATTTAAGGTTATTATCTGAATGTTAGAGTGTAAATATGCCATTTTATTATGTTTTCTGTTCTATGCTTTTTTTTTTTTTAAATATATTTTATTGATTTTTTTTTTTGGCCCCCTCCTTCCCTACCACACATACCCTCCCTCCCCAGAGTTTTGTGTCCATTGGTTGTACTTAAATGCATGTATACAAGTCCTTCGGTTGATCTATTATCTCTCCCAGATCTTCCTCCCCTCCCCACTGTAATTTGACATTCTATTGTACTTGTTGATATACTGTCTCTATATCTATCTTTTGGTTCATCAGTTTATAATGTTCTTTATCATCCACAAATGAGTGAGGTCATGTGGTGTTTCTCTTTCATTGATTGGCTTATTTCACTCAGCATGATGTTCTCCAATTCCATCCAGGTTGCTGCAAATGATGAGAATTCCTTCTTTTTTATGGCAGCATAGTATTCCATTGTGTAGATGTACCATACTTTTTGGATCCAATCATCAGCTGATGGGCACCTAGGCTGTTTCCAAATTCTGGCTATTGTAGATTGTGCTGCTATGAACATAGGGGTGCATATATCCTTTCTGATTGGTGTTTCTAGTTTCTTGGGATATAATCCTAGAAGTGGGATTAGTGGGTCAAATGGGAGTTCCATTTTCAGTTTTTTGAGGAAACTCCACACTGTTCTCCACAGTGGTTGCACCAGTCTGCATTCCCACCAGCAGTGCACGAGGGTTCCTTTTTCTCCGCAATCTCGCCAACACTTGTCGTTTGTTGAATTGTTGATGTTGGCCATTCTGACAGGTGTGAGATGGTACCGCATTGTTGTTTTGATTTGCATCTCTCGGACAATTAGTGACTTTGAGCATGTTTTCATGTGCCTTTTGGCCTTCCTTCTGTCTTCTTTTGAAAATGTTCTATTTAGGTCCATTGCCCATTTTTTAATTGGATTATTCATCTTCCTTTTATTTGGTTGTATAAGCTGTTTGTAGATGTTGGAGATTAAACCTTTATCAGTGGTATCATTTGCAAATATGTTCTCCCACACAGTGGGCTTTCTTGTTGTTTTGTTGATGGTTTCTTTTGCTGTAAAAAACCTTTTTATTTTAATGTAGTCCCATTTGTTTATTTTCTCTTTAGCTTCCATTGCCCTAGGGGTAGTATCAGTGAAGAAGTTCTTTTAGCATATGTCTGAGATTTTGCTGCCTGTGGATGCTTCTAGTATTTTTATGGTTTCCCGTCTGATGTTTAAGTCCTGTATCCATTTTGAGTTTATTTTTGTGAATGGTGTAAGTTGGTGATCTAGTTTCATTCTTTTGCAAGTGTCTGTCCAATTTTCCCAACACCATTTATTGAAGAAACTGTCTTGACTCCATTGTATATTTGTGCCTCCTTTGTCAAATATTAATTGAGCATAGTGATTTGGGTTGATATCTGGGTTCTCGATTCGATTCCATTGATCTATATGTCTTTTCTTGTGCCAGTACCAGGCTGTTTTGAGAACAGTGGCTTTGTAATATAGTTTGAAGTCTGGTATTGAGATCCCTCCTACTTTACTCTTCTTTCTCAGGATTGCTGTGGCTATTCGGGGTCTTTTATTGTTCCAAATGAACTTTTGGAGAGTTCTTTCTAGGTCGGTGAAATATGTCGTTGGTATTTTAATGGGGAGTGCATTGAACCTATAGATTGCTTTAGGAAGTATGGACATTTTGATGATGTTGATTCTACCAATCCATGAACACGGTATGTTCTTCCATCTCCTTACATCTTCCTCTATCTCTTTTTTCAGTGTCGTGTAGTTTTCCGCAAATAGGTCCTTTACTTCCTTAGTTAAATTTATTCCTAGGTATCTTAATTTTTTTGGTGCGATGGTAAATGGAATTGCTTATTTAGTCTCAGTTTCTGCAGTTTCACTGTTGGTGTATAGAAATGCCATGGATTGCTTGGCATTAATTTTGTATCCTGCTACATTGCCAAATACATTTATTAAGTCAATTAGTTTTTTAATGGAGTCTTTTGGGTTTTTTATGTACAATATCATGTCATCTGCAAATAAGGATAACTTTACTTCTTCTTTTCCAATTTGGATGCCTTTTATTTCCTCCTCTTGTCTAATTGCAATGGCTAGTACTTCCAGTACTATGTCAAACAGGAGTGGCAAGAGTGGGCATCCCTGTCTTGTTCCTGTTCTTAGAGGGAATAGTTTTAGTTTTTGCCCATTGAGTATAATGTTGGCTGTGGGTTTATCATATATAGCTTTTATTATGTTGAGGTATGATCCTTGTACTCCCACCTTGTTAAGAGTTTTTATCAGAAAAGGGTGTTGGATTTTATCAAATGCTTTTTCTGCATCAATTGATATGACTATATGATTTTTATCTTTCAATTTATTTATGTGATGTATCACGTTTATTGATTTGCGGATATTGTACCATCCTTGCATTCCTGGAATAAATCCTACTTGGTCGTGGTGTATGATCTTTGTGATGTTCTTCTGGAGTCGATTTGCTAGAATTTTGTTGAGGATTTTGGCATCTATGTTCATGAGGGATATTGGCCGGTAATTCTCTTTCATTGAGTTGTCTTTATCTGGTTTTGGTATTAGGGTGATGCTGGCTTCATAGAAGGAGTTTGGAAGTGTTCCTTCCTCTTGGATTTTTTGGAATAGTCTGAGGAGGATAGGTTTTAGTTCTTCCTTGAATGTTTGGTAAAACTCTCCTGTGAAGCCGTCTGGCCCTGGGCTTTTGTTTGCTGGAAGCTTTTGGATGACTGTTTCAATTTCTTCCCACGTCACTGGTCTATTGAGATTTTTAGATTCTTCCTGATTGAGTTTTGGCAGTTTGTATTTTTCTAGGAATATGTCCATTTCCTCCAGGTTGTTCAGTTTGTTGGAATAGAGTTGTTCGTAGTATTTTGTAACAATCCATTGTATTTCGGTGGGGTCTGTTGTTATTTCACCTCTTTCATTTCTGATTTTGTTTATTTGGGTCCTCTCTCTTTGTTTCTTGGTTAGCCTGGCTAGAGGTCCATCTATCTTGTTTATCCTTTCAAAGAACCAGCTCTTGGTTTTGTTGATCTTATGTATTGTTTCTTTGGTCTCTATGTCGTTTATCTGTGCTGTGATTTTTGTTATTTCCTTCCTTCTGCTTACACTGGGCTTTTTTTGTTGCTCTTTTTCTAACTCTTTGAGTTGTAGAGTTAGATCATCTGTTACCATTTTTTCTAGTTTTTTGCAATAGGCTTGTAAGGATATGAACTTCCCTCTCAAAACTACTTTTGCTGTGTCCCATAGATTTTGGATTGTTGTGTTTTCATTGTCATTTGTTTCCAGGATGTTTTTAATTTCTTCCTTGATTTCTCTGGTAACCCAGTCCTTGTTTAATAGCATGTTGTTTAGTCTCCATGTGTTTGATTTCTTTGGATTATTTTTATTGTATCAATAGATAATTTCCAGTTTTTGTTCTATGCTTTTTTAATTTGTTTTTCTGATTCTCGTTCCGCTGTTTCTCTTCTTGCCTTCCTTTGGGTTACTTGAACTTCTTTTGTTATCTCGACAGTGTT